TTTTTGAGCTGCAATGGTGAAAAACATGGGACGGTTTTTTATTGTGTTCTGTCAATCTGGTTTCCAATCACTTTGCTTTGACTAGTATGTAGAAGTACTATATATATGTTCACAGACAAATCTTTAGTAAAAATACTTCAATAAAAAATTGGATTTTTCGTGTACAAAAAACTTGTAACATTTAATAAAAGTCTGCAAAATTCTGTGAAGATACACAAAGTGTATTATAAGTTATATTATGGAAACTGTAATGAGTACAATATGGCTATGAGGTAGGTTGAATTGACCAACTTTGTAGCAAGAGAGTTAATAGTAATCATGGTGATATGCTAGTATATCTAGAAATGGTAATTTGTTTTGTTTTTCTAGCTGTGAAGTTGATTGAATGTTGGAATTTTTGGGGGTTTAGGTGATGTATAAAGTTTTCAGTGGTGTGTTATTTATGTGACAAAATGGCAAATGTGTCATCAGCATATTGTTTGCAGATACATGGTTTTAGGCTAGGTTACTCAGTGGCTCATGACTTGAAGAGTTTGATGGCTATAGAAGACAGAGTATAACACCTGTCAAGACTGCTGGTGTGTTTGCAGTGATTATTTTTGATATGGAAATAGGTGGTAGAAAAGCAGTGGGTATAAGTTTCATTATAGGATTCACTGAAAGAGTCAAGTGTAATCTCTACTGTTCATATATTCATGATAAACCCTCAGATGTGATGAACTCGTCACAGTGTGTGAAACAAGTCCTGACAGAAGGTACGAGCAGTTCGTAGGGAACTGTTTATTAAATAGTTTCAGTGCTATGAAGTTATGTTAAAAATTTACCCTCAACACTCAGTATCAGACAGTTTAGTATATTTTTTCCATTTCAATGACTTATTATTTTTTACTTCTGAAGATGTAGTGTATGCAGTTTTTTTACTAATTATTTATTTAAGAAAATTGAGTAGATTTTTTTAAATCTTAATTTACAAGTTTGATCAGTTTATTCAAATAAAATGATTCATTAAAATAAGTTATAAATCAAAAACATTTTCAACAAGTATATATCCAGTACATTGCACATGATTCTGTTAAATTTATATATATATATTCTCCTTTCAAAGAAATAAAATATAATGGAAGGAGCTGACAAAAAACACAACTACTTTTAAAATGAAAGAAAACATGGATTGAATGATATGTTTTTTACCAGTTCTTGTAATTAGATAGAAAATTAAACTTGTGTAGTACGCGTGTGCTGTAAGTATATTTGAGATCCACGATTAATATGGCTCTGTATACAGTGGTTTTGTATATCAAAAGCAACTCTGTTCTAATTGAAAAACAGATTTCCTTCACAGTTTATACGCTTAACAATTAATACAAATACATTACACAGTAAAATGTGCATTTTTTAATGATCACATGAAGACAAATCTAAAACAATGATGGCTCCATTAACAGTTATACCCAATGAACTTGCAATGTGGCATAGACAAGGGTATGATTATAACAATAATGTTATAACGACAGTTAAAATTACTATACTGTTGCTTCTTACTGATACCTTACTACTAGTAAAGCTACATACTGGCATGTTATAACACACTGAATGCCTGTCTGGCTCATCAGTAATAATAAATTATCTTAAAATAAATTGTGTTTACAAATTAGAAGTATTGAGAAAAATCATATGTAATACCAGCTGTATAAAACCATGAACGATGCTAATACTTTGACAAGTTGGAATGAATTTTAAGGAAGTTATTTATAAACAAACATAAAATGGACATTATAAAAAGAAATGTGAATAGTGCAACATTTTTCCATTTAATAAACTTTGATCACTCTGTGAACTGGAAATTAGCCATGATGATATATAAAATGAAGAAGTGTTGAAATTGAAAATGTGCTGAACTTCTCTGAAGGGCACTTCAAAATGAACTGTTTCCTAACCACGTTCATCATCAAGAGAGTTTTACGATCTGATATCACCTAGATTGTAAGGACAAATATCTTTTCAGAAGACTGTGTAGGACTGAAGAGGACACATGAAAGTGTCAAAATCAGTTTCTTTGTGTTAATATTTTGTTCCAAAAAGTATGGTTTGTTTCTAATCTTCATTTACTTAACATCATTGTTAGGCCTAATTCAGTCTACAGATGTTTTATGATAAATTTTCACCTGCAACTATACTGGATATATAGCTACGGTGTAGAAAGAAAAGAAATGTATAGAATGAAAGTTGCTAATATTAATATAGCAGCTTTTAATGAACTTCATACCAACTTAATTTTCAAAGAACGCACTGAAAATCATGCGGTTTTTACCATTTGACACAGTGCTGCCTAACAATGTGTAGACAATCAGCATTAGGAATTGACAATGTGAATTGACACAGTGTTAACTAACAATATGAGTGAAAATGATATATGAATCCAAAGAACTGTGTCATGAAAACTACACAAAACCCATTACTTGGTTTTAATTTTTGTGTCTTAATTAATCCAACACATGCTTTAATAAAAATATTGTGATGTTTGATTATATCTGACTATAATATTTATCAAAATCTGAAAATAAACATATATCCCATGTGGTCATGATACAAATATCATGCAAAGTATTCTTTCTCTCTTTGTGTGTGTTTAATCATGTTACTCTATGTTTTAGTAGCATTTACTGTGGAATGCTACTCAAAATAATTCCTCCTGCTTATGAGCCGTATTACTTTATTCTGAGCTGTAGTTCTTTCATTATACAATGTATTTCTTCAGAAAAACTATAGAATATTATATCATAATGGTGCAAGCTATGAAATTGTTTTTGCCTCTTCTTGTCATCTATGTTGGTGGAATTAGAAACTGTAGAGTGGTAGGTTGTGTGATCTTGCTTCACAATAAGACTGATAATAATTTTTATAAAATCTCTGTGCTGATCCTATATGGGTTTCCAGTAAGAAAAACATAAAAATATTTCAATTTCACACTTTGTGTGTTGCATGCTGACAGTGTCAAGGAGGTCTTTTGTTTAGTATCAGGTCTTTTCATGTCAGATGGGTTTGTGTCATTTATTTTTTGTCTTACATGCATGTATTATGCAAATTATTGAATAAATAATGATGCTGAGTCAGTGACTTTCAGATTACTCGGTATGATAAGTGATAACAGCACGTGATTTTTTACCACTGTAATCATTCTTCATATTTACCTTTACAAACTTGTAAAAAATGTCTTAATGAATATTATTTGTTTTATATCCTACATTTCAATAAAACAAAAAAAATCTAATAATTTTAGTTTTAGTTTAGAAGAGAGAATACATGTTAATGATATGAAAAAGTCCAATTCCATGATTATTTGTTATCATTCTCTGTTAAAAAAAAAGGATAAAATTGATACTTCTTGCTTGTTGGTATGGGAAACACTGAATAACTTTTACACTGCTAAAAAGTAGTGCTTTAACCCTTCACGTTCAGGCCTGAATATTTTGCACATATCATAAACTTTTACAGTGTGATATTCATAATTTGATTAAACAATTTTATTATCAATGTATGTCAGTAGCTTATAATCCAGTGTTTCAGATTATCTAAACTTAGCTTCTTAATTTCAAAAAGAAATATTTTAAAAAAATTGTGAGTCAGCTTTATTTTACAATCAGTTAGAAATGCAAAGCGTACGTAATTATAATCACAGACAAGAATCTACATTTGTACCAAATTGTCAAACTCACCTGAGAAGCTTTTGCTAATCAACTTTACATGGCTGATTTGATGTGTTTATAATGAGTAGAAAGAGCAGAATCTACACTGTATGAATCTTAAAAGTCATTGTCTAGTTTTCCCACCATGAACCAATTGTCGCAGAATTATTTTGAATGTAGTGATCGTATTTTTGATGCTCCAAATACTGAAGTAATTTTTTATCACCTTTCACTTAGACCGACTTAGTAAAGACTTTGGAAATTTAAAGACAAAATCTTTAATAGAAATACTTTATTAAAAACTTGCAAAAAATTAGTTTGTATAATTTCACAGATTCCAGTGTCATTCATTTTGACTGAGACTGTGAACTGGATACTTAATGTATACGAGTATATAAATAATTGTCAATGATTACTAATTTTTCTTGTCAATTGTAGAAATATCATGCACATATTATGAAAGAATGTCATAAACAGGCATTTTTATGCCATTCCTTTTACTTCTAATGTGTGTTAAATATTAGTAGTTATGCTACTTTTACAAATTTTACAACAAGTACATGTTAAAAGACTAATGAAAAAGCTCTTAAGGACATTCTCTATTTTCTGAATATTACTAAAGATTCATTGACACTTTTGTTTTCAGGTCGTATTCTTATTATATTGAAGTTTCCATGGATCAAGAAGATTGGATCCGAGTCGTTGATAACACACGTTACCTCTGTCGATCTTGGCAAAACTTATACTTCAATACAAGGGTTGTGAGGTAGTGTTGTAAAGCAGTATTGAAACAGATAAAATATGCTAACTTTGTCTTTAAATTTTGAAAAATTACAGTTTTTAATACATTTATTCATTCTTCATTGCAGAAAAACAGTATCAGAAGGCTAAAGAACATACATTTAAAAAAAAACTAACAATCCATCACGGCATTACTGAAAGCATATAATTCACCTTTCAAATGTTGAGATAATTTTTCAATGTTTAACTTGAGTCGCTCAATATATATTTACTTATATAAAACAGGCCAGGCAAAATTATATTTGCTCATACCTGAAGTAAACAGAAGTTTACAATTGCTCACTGCAAAATTTTGGTTGAAGAGAAAGTAATTTTCTTTGTTTATATGAGCATTTTACCATTCTTAGAATGCATATATACATAACGACTGTTGTGTACATATTACTTTCATATTATACATACATAAATTATATTAATAAGTTTTCTTGAACACCTTAACCCTATTTCAAGTGTACACTGAGACTTAGCAAAATAATTCTTACCTAAAAGGTTATTGACCAGAGTTTTAAATTTCAGAAAGTTATTTTGTTTAATGAGTTTTTGTAGAAACATTCATTGTACTTGGAAAAAACTTTCAAACTTTTACTAACTTTTTTCAACTAAAAACTGAATGCTGTAAATGTTAGATTAATCACTAGTTTCTTTTGGGTTATGTTTCTTTGAGGCTTATAATACAATTAAACAAGGAATTATATGTTATTACTTTATCTTGGGTAGAACAAAAGTTAAAGTGTTTTAAAGCTGCATTTTAACCCTTTCGTGATGGGCTGGGTATATCATACACAATTTAAGTATTTATACTATACCTTTTAATGCAGTAAGTGTATCTTCACAAAATTTGGATAGACTTTTAGTAAAGATTACAACTCTTTCGTACAAAAAAAATCCGATTTTTTAATGAAGTATTTTTGTTATAGATTTGTTTGTGAAAATATCAAGCCTGTTTCGTTACCAGTCCAAGTGCGAAATGATTTTCATGTCATAACTAAAAAACTATTGTTCATCCCAAAAATCTCTAATAATATTTGTGTAATCTCTAAAACCTCCTAAATACATTTCAAGCATTTGTTTTCAATAAAACTGTATATTTTTTCTGTTATTTTCTCTATCCAAACTCAATGGGGCCTCGTAACCACCATCAAAAATTAGTAAATAAATTTAAATTATGCTTTTTTTTGTTCTAGAATGACTACAGATTGTAACATGAAAACACAACTGTTTAGTCTAAATAGCCTAAATCTCATAACATTATATATATTTATTATTTTTATTATATTGAGCTTTCAGCCATGCCTGGCTAACAATACAGAAGTTACAATGATGAGGTGCACGTGCACTCACGATACCATATCCAATAATATAAAACTGGCCTTTACAAAGTGGCCTGTCTTGGCTGTGTTTTAGTGGACTATTGTAAAATACAGTCACATTTCAATTATTATACATTATATATGTATATACATTAATAGTATTTACAAATAAGTTCTTAAACTTATTTTCTTAAAACATAGAACAGTAAATAAAGAAT